GTGTGTGTGTGTGTGTGTGTGTGTGTGTGTGTGTGTGTGTGTGTGTGTGAGAAAGAGTAGAAATGAAATATGAGTAGCTGTTGTTACATGTCTGGGAATAAATAAAAGCTTGTGTTTTGTTTGATAGTGATTTGTGTGTTGTGTACCGGGCACTGCTTATAGCAGCCTTGTGTGAAGATGCACTTCCTCATATCATTTATGCTGTTTGTACTTCACAAGCCAGCAAACATGATAAGTGGCGCCTGGAATCACAGCTATTCCAACTTTCAGTTTCCCTGTAGTGTTTCTATGATTTCGTACAATGATCTGATCTCATTTCCCCCTAAAGGTAGATGATCATTTCTCATTTCCTCCTCATTACCTGTGCAGGGGACGTCGGTGTGCCAGGTGACCGTTATAGGAGCCATCGTCATCCTCCTGTACTCTTCCAGGGCCTGCTACAATCTGGTCGTCCTGGGACTCTCAAACAAGAGCATCAACTCCTTTGACTACGACTGGTACAACGTTTCAGACCAGGTGAACCGCCGGAGGGTCACAATGCCTTCTTCATTCAAGAGAACAGGCTTTTTTAAGAGCATCGGTCGACAGTTCAGACTGATCTATGCGAGTCACGGCTGTTATGGGAGAAAGCTGAAAGACTTTTTCTGTTTTGGGCCTTATTGGTCGTTGCTTCCCTTTGTGAGGACTGTGAGTGTTCTAATGGTGAACGTGTTGTGTTTTTTCAGGCAGATTTACGGTCGACTCTGGGCGACGCCGGCTACATCGTCTTCGGAGTGATCTTGTTCGTGTGGGAGCTGCTGCCCACCTCTCTCATGGTTTTCTTCTTCAGAGTTCGGCAGCCAGACCTAGACGGGGTGAGCCAGCGAGCACTCGCCTCAGCGGGGGGGTCGGGAATCCTCCCCGGGGGTCACAAGATGAATCTGATTGGGTCACGAGATTGTTTATAGTAAAAGCAGATGCGTCATACTGTAGTTCAACTACAGAAAGACTGTTTCTGTCTTGTGAAATACTGGACAGTTTTGTAACATTTAGCCAAGTTAAAAAGGAAAGTCACTTGTGGTCCTGAGCTACAGGCTACAGATGTGAAATACAGTCTTCATGTTTTATAATGTGAGACTACGATATCTTACCTGTATTGTGTTGTTGGTGTCCTGCAGAGTGGCTCTGGGCTTCCTGGTCACGTCTTCTCCTCCAGGGCTTATTTCTTCGACAACCCGCGGCGCTACGACAGCGACGATGACCTGGCGTGGAACGTCATGCCTCACAACATCCAAGCCAGGTAAAAAAACAACAACAACAAAACACCACGATCTAATCACCAAAATACTGTAACATGAAGTAGGAAGGAGAAGTCAAAAATGGGCGTTGTTGAATTTTGATTCTCCAGTCTGGCCGCTGACGGTTACGAGTGGGGGAGCAGCAGCAGCAGCAGCAGCAGCATCGGAGGAGACGACGGCTACCTCCTCCCTCCTCCAGAGGAGCTCGGCCACTACTGACCGGAGTTCACAGCGACTCCTGCCGACTCGTGGCTTTGTTCTCTTACTTGTATATTTTTGCACAGTCTCTCTGAGCGACAGGGGCACATGGAGTCGCCCTCTGCTCGACACGTTCGGTCTTCTATTTTGTCTAGAGTAGAAGAAGAACTAACTGACTTTTCTGCCAGTTTATGAAGGTCCACTGATGGGACGTTGATTTTGCACACAGTGATGTAATGTTACACTGCTTTAAAACATTTTCATTGTATAGTTTATATTGAATACTGCTTAATATATTTCCTGACTTTTGTAATATGAACTCTATTACTATTTTATGTACCGTGTTCTTTGTCATACATATTTGTTTATAGAGATATTCATTTAATTCATATTAAAACAGTATAAATACTGTGAAAGATGCAGTTCATTTCTAATACATGAACACTTTATTGATGAATTGACAGTAGGTTGCTCATGCTTTCCTTTATTTATATATTTTCTGATACCTATTTTTTTCTCTTCTAGTCTAGTCCAAATTTTATTGATGCTCTGTTTTCAAAGATTTGCATTTTGAAAGCACTGAATACAGTTTGTACCCAGGAACTTAACAGAAGACAATACTTAGAAAGTTAGAAAAGTGATCTATTGTCCATTTACAACGTAGGAACATTCTCACGGTGTACTTGTGAGGCTCAAGTTTAGATATCGTCTTGGAAAAGGTCTGTATTGGTTTTAAAATGTTGCAGATTAGATTAGGGACTCATTTTATTAGAGCCCCGATTTGTTTGTCATCTAATGCATAAAGTGTAAATATAAAGTCATTGATAAATTAAATAAATGGGCAACTCTGGTACATAGTGCAGGATATTGAATAAAAATCAAATTGAAAAGCCATTTATACAATAATTTACTGGTTGATAGCGTCATTTACCACTTTATCAATATACTAAAATAATAGAAATTTGAATATTTTAATCACATTTTCAGGTTTAGTACAGACAATATTGATCTTTTTTTATGGAAGGGGGAGCTGAATTTGCTGATAATTAAGCCTGTTTTTCCTCTCACTTCTCAGTGTGAATAACTATTTCCATCATAGGTAATCATATTACTGCTGGGGTCCAGAGTCAGACTAACTAGGCGTTTACACTGTAGGCCTGCAGAGGGCAGCATGAAACCACGTCCAGTGCAAGCAGGAGCGCATGAGCGGCCGTCATCCTGCTGTCAGTTGTATGCTGCTCCCTCAATCTCTGCCTTTTCTTTTGTTTTATTCAGAGAGCAGGAGGAACAAGCCCACAGTGACCATCACCGTGCTGCAAAGGACTGGATTCAAACTACGACCAAACCATTTCTGTCAGAAAAAGGATGTTTTTAATTCAGATCATTCCTCATATTATTGCAACCTCAAGTACATTTAGCAATACAGTAGCATAGAACAGCTGATTCCATGTGAAAAGCATAACACATTAAGCATATGCAGAACACTGTACCTTTAAGGAATTGACTGCAAAAAAACAATATGCAAAAAGCTGTAGATTCTCTGGGAGTTGAATTCCTGTTGATTTTCTGAAAATGTCAGTTGTAACGCGAGTGCTCTCCGCCGCCGAGCCTTTCATTTCACCCAAGAGGTGAAAAAACAAGACACACAATCCCTTTCTGTATAATGCCACGACATTCACGGTCCTCCGGGTATCCGCCGGTTTGCTGAAAACGAACAGAAATCACTGTTTGTTTTGTCTCCGGAAGAATGGATCTTCCACCCGCTCAGCTCACGCAAAGAGTCTGCTGCTCTGCCATGTAAAACACACACACATGCTCTCTATAGGCCACTTTTTTTTTTTAGGACAGAGCACTTGAAGGCTGTTTTGTAGGGGACGCAGACTTCCCCACTAGCTGGGATCTGATGCTTTGCCAAGTTCAACCTTTTCTCCTTTTTCTCCTGCACACAGAGGAAACACAAACACAGGAGATGTTATAGAAGAGCGTAAAAAAAACACCACAGACAGCTTTAAACAATACAAACAGGTTTGTGTAGCTTGTGCATCAAAACCTACCCGTTAAGTATTTTTCTTTAGCTCTGGCTCGCTCGTCTGCGTCGAAATACCACACCGTGATGGCATACCTGGGGAGACAATTAGAGCACTGAGTCACTGCGTAACAGACCGGATCACCTGGGCGTGTGCGGCGGACGCATTTTGGATACTGACCTGGTGGCGAAGGCGGGCTGAACCTCGTGAGGGTTCCGTCTGTCGGACCAGAACAGCAGCAGGCGGTCAAATCTGGGCTCTATGTCGGCGAACTGTGCCTTTCCTTCTGGGAAGATTCGAAGAAGGCCACCGTGTTCCTGGAAGAGCAGAACAAGAAGGAACAACCTCAGTTATGTACACAAATTAGGACAAAGCAGCCGCAGGAAGGTAAGGAGAGACCGGAGGAAGCAGTGGACGGCGTTTGGTATTTTTGATTCCTGTCTCGTCCAGTGAACGTCTCCTAAAACCGCATTTATTGCTAATATACTGTAGAAGATCCACCATCAGGCTTTTTTAAAGCTACGAGCATAGGACGATAATGTTAGGGAAAGCTGTTGTCCAGCTCCAAGGGCTCGGGGAGGAAAGCTCAGGATCGGAAGCAGCAGCAGTGTGGGGGGGGGGGCTTTCCTGTGGAGGGATAGGAAGAATAACCCACAGGAAAACTGCTCGGGCTGGATAAAGGACCTGGAGAGTGAAAAAGCAGATTGCTGCAAGCGTGCCGCTTAAACTCTCACACAGCTGATATGATAGGCCCCTCTCTTCACACGCTAGCTCGCGGGGCAAAACGGTTCACACCCTTCTTTGGAAAGATTAATGCTATTCTCATTTATGCTTCTTTGAATGAGGGGGAATGCCGGTGGTGTGACAAAGATAAATAAAGCACAATGGGGTCAAAGAAAGCACCACTGATTTGAACTATTGTTTGACTGCACGATATATCCAAATCGGTGGCAACATTCATTGTGCTCTGGAGGAGAGAGAGAGAGAGAACATCAGCTTCTGACACATCATGCTGAGTAATCATTTGGATCTCTAGTGCGGCCTTTTAGGTGGGAACTGCTTTGGACATCACAGCAGGATTTATTTATGGGAACTACTGCTGTGCACTGGACACAGAGCACAATGATAGAGAGCTTTACAATTCACAATACATCCCATTCAACCAACACCTACATAAGGCTGGGCGATGTGGGGGGGGAAAAAAAAAAAAAAAAAAAAAAAAACACAATATTTTAGACCAAATACCAATATCGATATTGTGACGAGATTGAAGGGTTGACTATTCGTCTTTACAAAATGTTAAATCGATGAGATTTTTGATAAATACTCATCAGTAATGTGGATTTAATAACTGAGTGAAAGCCACATCACTTTACTGTAATAAAACAACTCTCACTTCATATTACCATATCGAAATCTAAGATGACATGTAGTCTCAAATCAGTCAGTATAATATGGATGTATTGTGGTACCACAGTATACTTATATACATACATATACATCCGGTACACCGTGAACCCGCGCCATCGTATCATGAAAATCTCATCCCGTGACAGCCATTAATGTGTGATGTACAGTCCAATGACCTGCACGGGGAATGCATGTTATTTATAGTTATTGTTAGTGTTATCTTAATGAAACCAGCTCCGCTGTTTTACCGTCCACTCTCTGGATCGAGTATCTGCTCATGCAAACTCAACAGTTCCTACCGCTGATGGTTAAAAGCATCCAGCGCAGATTCACAGGAAACACAATGATCGAAAAAAAAGCAACGTTACAAGGAGCAGCCACAGCTGATGGATGCAAAGCTGCGAAGTACCCGCACCATGTGTCGTATGAAATCAGAACACACTTACAATCACTACTGACTGACAAACTGCACTGTAAACAGACACACCAGCTGTTCTTCAGTCGTATTTCTGACTAAATAGCCGCTGAAGGAGAGTTTGCTGTAGTATTATACAAAATTTTGGATCTAGACAAACATATATTGCATGTTATTCATGCAGAATTACTTCAGTACTAGTAGACTGTGAAGGTCCTACATAGTGCTAGGGCTGCTATTGAAATAGCAATATGGCCTATTATTGCAACGGAGGCGAATAATGTGTCAAAATAACATTTTAAACTTTTGACAATCTTGCGAGTCATCAGTCAAACTAACCAGTTAAGTTAGGTTTTAGAACTAGTTCAGCCCTAGATGGAACCAAAAAGTTAGTTTAATGTCTGACAAGCTGTCCAAGATGATGAAGAATGAATAAAATCTAGACAAACCTGCCACACCCTCATGCCCGCTAAGAGCCCGCTACACAGAAGGAAGTCACATGGTGTGCCCTCAGATACCAGTACGAATAAGTTGGAAACTTTTCCATTGGTGTGACAAGATGTTGGTGTAACTATGTAAACAATGTGATTCATGTCCAGTGTTAGTGTGAAGGCCGAGTGCTGTAACCCTGACTGGTAACGCACTTCATAAAGGGTGTTGTGAACGTGTCTGCAAGTCTCTACAGTATGCGTCTGCTGTGACAGACCGGTGACCCGTCCTCACCTCTCTCCAATTGCATGCTGGGAAACGCTCCCAGCCCCTGCCTGTCTGATCAGGGTTCATTTTTAAAATATTAATAGCATTTATTTTTTTGGGAGGGGGGGGGAATTCAGTTCAAAACAAACCTTGCAGAGAATCTACACTTGTAACAGAAGGAGAAGTATTTCCAGTGGATGATTCACTCCCTCCCACTTTGACTTCCACTTGCCTGCATCTCTCTCCTCCCACCAGAGTGACTTGTTTCTTTCACTTTCTGTCACATAGGTGAACAGAGAACATTCTAAAGCAGCGACTGGTCACACGTAACCGAAACATGATGTACCGCGCTGGGAGGATTGAGAATTTGCCAAATACTTTTTGAAGTGTTGATACTTTATAGAATGAATCACATGAACCTAAAGTTTCATGATGGTTTTTTTATGGACGTTAAGCAGTTGAAGAGACACAATGTTGAAAATTGGGGGGTAAATAACCGGTGCAACTGAACCTGAACCTTCCAAAGCCATGTCCTTCTCTCAAGGAGTATGCCAGTATCCAGGCAACCACATTCTATAAAACACAGCTAATCACATGGCTAATAAACAGCCAATCAGGGACCAGATTGGAGTCATTCACGTGTAAGTGACCCCCAGAACATGGCTCCTTTGAATAATTGAAACCTGTGCATGAACATGACAATAGCAATCATGCAACCGCTTACATGATGAACAAACGAGCAGTGTGACCCACCGGATGCACATCGCTTCAGCAGAAAGAGATTTAGTAGACACGTAAAGAACTGTGACTGCGTTGAGAGTGCGAGGGCAAACACCGGATAGATTATAAAACCCAAAACACTG